TCGATCGATTTGTCAATCTATAACCGCACTATGCGGCGGGGGAGGATAGAATCCCCCTCGTTTGTGAGCTCAGCACGTGACGTGACAATAAAATGCAACGATGGGAACATTTTAATTGTTGGCAAACATTGTGAAAGTAATGATCAAGTTGCCAGAGCAAAATTATCTACACACGACTCGATTTGAAATGGTTTCATTACCAATTTCTACTGCTTACTATAAGGTCCAGACTCGTGGCGACGTGATGGGTTGGGTCTATTTTTTTTAATGAGTGGCAATGGAGTTGTTCCCCCTCCCCACTTGCGCTAACAATATACGCTGGCGGGGCACCAGTGAATGATGATAGGTGAGACGCAAAGGCATGTCAGTTAGCTCATCGTGATGGAAACGCTTGGAATTCAACACGATGGTTTCCAGGGGGGACCACATGGAGGTCGACCTTACAGGGTATATTGAGAAATGATTCAATCAGTCAATCATTGATGAATAATAGAAATGATAAAAATAAAATACATAAAAGTCAAGCACAATTGTTCCTTTTGTGCGTGTGCTATAACAATAGAAAATGTTCACAACTCAGTTTATTGCTTCGCCCTCAAAAGAGCAAAGCACTGATATTCTGTTGCGGCCAAAGGGAATAGGGTAACAATAAAATAATACTACCAGATTATCCATACAGTAAACAGCTATATGACAGTTCATCTAGCTAGCAGACAAAAGGAACAGAGAGGTAACATGCTAGAATATGTAACTTTTGCCTCTCAATTAAGATACTACAAGTACACCTAGTCATTATGCGGAATTCAAAGAATGAAATCCTCAGCACATTGTGCCAGTGTCTGAACGGTCCCATTCAAAAGTATTGCTTGTCCGTGCACCAAGACAGGAACATTAAAAAATATTCTCTTGTTTTTATCTAATAACTATGTTTGCTATTATTATATATATATATATATATATATATATATATATATATATATATATATATATATATAATTTTTTTTTTATTTTATTTATTTACATTTTATTGCACCAAGTTAAAAGATAAATAACAAATACAGTAAATATTCATGAGAAGTGATACAAAAAGCGGCCTTATCGCTCCCACGGTCCCATTCAAAAGTATTGCTTGTCCGTGCACCAAGACAGGAACATTAAAAAATATTCTCTTGTTTTTATCTAATAACTATGTTTGCTATTATTTATATATATATATATATATATATATATATATATATATATATATATATATATAATATATAATTTTTTATTTTATTTATTTACATTTTATTGCACCAAGTTAAAAGAGAAATAACAAATACAGTAAATATTCATGAGAACTGATACAAAAAGCGGCCTTATCGCTAAGCAATCTCTTCCAGACAACCTTTGGGTAGAGGACATTGAGAAAAAGACAAAGGGTAGGTGGTGCACTATTATATAAATATTATCATACACAAACATATATACATACACATACATATATAATATATACACAATTAAATATATACATAACATACACATACTTAACAGCACACATACAACAGAAAAAAAAATGTCGAAGGAAAACGAAGAGAGAACACAGGAAAATAGTTCTAAAGTGAGAGGTAGTAAGATGTAACAGAGGTTTTGAAGCTAGTAAGAGTTTGAGCGCACCGAATAGGGGTAGCTAGTGAGTTCCATAGATATTTACTTTACTTTTTATAAATTTTCTACATATTTTAATTTTTATGTTTTTTTTTTGTATGTTTTTATATGTTACCGTGCACGTTGTAATACAATTGTACCTCTATGGGTTAAATACCTGATAATAAAGAATTATTATTATTATTATTATATTTCGATTGCGATTTCTAGTGAATCCATATCTATGTACTGAAACCGTCTTTACTGACCAACTTGCCTAATGATGTGCGAATAAATAGCTCTCTCGAATATCACCACTGAAATCGTCTCGTTTATAAACATCTTTATTTGCTCGCTACTTCGTATGCTTGGAGTTCAGAAGTACTAAAACCAACGAAATAGATCTAGATAGAGTATTACAATAATACATACACCAGGTTTTAAGTTAGTTTCACAATTGTAAAAAAGACGTCCAATTCGGTGCAGTAATTTACGTGTAATGTTGGAGTGAACATACAGACAAAGAGACGGGCTAAAAGTTCTAAAAATGATTGTTTTTTTTTATGGATGATAATGGAATGGGTAGCCCCGTCAGCGCTATCGGTATACGCTGGCGGGGCACCAGTGATGGATAATACGTAAGGATGAAACAGGGCAGTAGGCTCATTGTGAAGTATTTAACAAGAGTTTACCACGATGACTTCCAGGGGGAAGCGCATGTAGGACGACCTGATAGGGTATATTGCTAGCAATGGGGTTGTTTTTCTTTAACGGGTGATAATGAAATGGTAACCCCACCTGCACTATCGGTATACGTTGGCGGGGCACCAGTGACAGATGATAGATGACGATAAAAGCAGGTCAGTTAGCCCATCGTGATAAATTCCACGAGAAGTAACCACGACAGTTTCCAGAGGGAACCGCATGAAGGTCGACCTGATATTACTAGCAATGGGGCTGTTAGAACCCATTTTTCATTTCTCCCCTATATCCTATAGTTTTTTTTTATGTGTGAAAATGCTATGGTAACCTCGCCTGCGCTAACGGGATACTCTGGCGGAGCACCAGTGAAGGGTGATAGATGAGAATGAAAACAGGCCAGTTAGCCCATCATGATGAATTCATCAGGAATTAACCATGATAGTTTCCAGGGAGAACCCTTTCCCCCCCTATATCCTATAGTTACGGTATATAGAAATAACACTTTTAGTACAATTTAATTATTAGACGCACCCATAATGTTTACTGTGTCTAAAATTGCAGGCTTACTCAATTTATCTAAGTGCTGCCCACTCGATTGGATTGGCTTCGAGAGCTGCAGTACTCTGAAGTGTTTAGGATTAAAGACTATTTTAGAATGACTCCTCTGGGAACCTGTATTGAATTAATTATTGTTTACTCTTTAAATGACGTGACCTTACACAGCTAAATTAATAATTGGATATAATATATATGTAGGAAATATTTATAATATGGTCATTATTTGCTGTAACGGAACGTATAATGCACGAGAATGAACGAGTGTTTTTTTTTTATACTACTTAGAATGGCAAACAAGCTGATGGTCCACCTGATGGAAAGTGGTAACCGTCGCCTATAGACATGAGCAATACTATGGACATAACAGAGTATACTGTTTCGTCCATGATACTCCTCATGCGTTGCCATTCCTGAGGACTCAGGTGTTATTCCTCCGTACCCAGTAAATTCACGCCATATCCCACCCTTCAAACCGAAACACAGCCATGCAAACATAACTGCTTCACGGTAGAAACACAAATGGGACAGAGGTACCCAAGCAATCGACTTTTGTACAAAGTCTCCCTCTGGTATGCGTGAGTGAGTAAGATTGACAGATTGAAAAGATCAGGTGGTCTACCATGAAACGAAAATCCGAATTTTCGGGCTCAATTTCGTGTTTTTGTTCCTACCAAAATCGACCCAGTAAATGAAGCTTAACATTTCATTCATTATAAATCCTATCCTAATAGTCCAGAAGAATGATATTTTAACATTTTTAATAATTTTAAACGGCATGTATTATGTAATTTTAACATCAAATTTCAGTTTCGTTCGTGCCCGAAATTTCGGAAAATATTTCATGGTAGGCCCTCAGATTCATTCTTGCTACGGTGTTCTAAGTAGATGGTTAACGGTGTTATAATTTTAAGAAAAGTTTTAAATACATAGTAATAATGGGCAACTAATTTTCATTTTGAAAACCCTTGTTGTATATGTGGGATACATATATATTCTTTATTGCACTTGTAAATTACATTGTTAATGTATTTATAAATGTTGTGAGCAAGGGTGCACTTATCTCTGACAGAGATCTCTTCCAGTCAACCCGATACAGTTAGAAAGCATGTCGTTAGCGGGCAGCTGAAGTGCTACAGCTATTCATATTTAAAATACATAAACAAATATACAGTTAAAAATAATTGGAGCATCAAGTGTATACTAATATTTTAAAGAGGAAAGATTTTATTATTTGTAATGGATACATTTTCGAACAATCGATTTTAAAAATTCCTTCACCTACATAAAGTTACAATAACATAGACTACATATGATATTTGATACATTTTTAGACTTTGTACAAAAGTCGTTTGCTTGGCCACCTCTGTCCCATTCGTGTTTCTACCGTGAAGCAGTCGTGTTTACATAGCTGTGTTTCGATTTGAAGGGTGGGATATGATAGTTAATTTACAGGGTACAGAGGAATAACACGTGAATCCTCATGAATGGCAACGCATGGGAAGTATCATGGGCGAAACAGTATACTCTGTTATGACCATGGTACTGCTCATGTCTATAGGCGACGGTTACCACTTTCCATCAGATGGGCCGACACCTTGTTTGCCATTCTAAGTTGCATAAAAAAGAAATACAAATACTACACGTGCGAAGCTAAACTGAATCATTATTTATATATTATTTTCTATCATAATTTGAGATTTTTTCACGAAGGTGATAAACAAGTATACAGCCCGTGTATATAGCCCGTGATAGTGGACTGTCACTGTAGCCTCTGGACGCCTGCAACACTAGGGGTGACACGTACGCGTTGCCAACCCTGAAGAAACCTTAATATATCATTTTTGAAGTATCGCATACTTTAGTCTGTAGGGAAAACGTCTGCAAGGAGCTCATTTCACAGTCTGTGTATTCGTGGGAGAAAATTCCTTTAAACTCGCGCTGTACATGTGAGAATAGGTGGCTGTGGGCATCATCTCAAACAATTCTTCAGAACACAGTCTATTCTACAAACGGTAGAACTATTCCATTGTCATCCATTAAAAATACTAGGTGTCCTAGTCTGAGATTGGGTGGTAGGTACTTAAAAATATAAACATATTCAATTTGATTCGCAGGTAACCTGATAACAACAGTGGCCCTGCTGATGCACCCGAAGCTGCGCGGCCACGTGACCACCATGTTCGTGCTGTCGCTGTGCGTGTCCGACCTTCTGTTCTGCAGCATCAACCTGCCCCTCACCGCGAACCGGTTCATCCGCCAGCAGTGGGGGCTCGGCGAGAAGCTATGCCAGATGTTCGCGTTCGTGTTCTACGGGAACGAAGCGGTCTCGCTGTTGTCTATGGTCGCTATCACGATCAACAGGTTCGTGCAGTTTACACTAACATTTCTACATCTATAACGCATATATGTATATATAACGCAATTTTTTTTATGCAACTTAGAATGGCAGCCAAGCTGACGGCCCACCTGATGGAAAGTGGTAACCGTCGCCTACAGACAAGAGTAGTACCATGGACATAACAGAGTATACTGTTTCGCTCATGATACCCCCCATGCGTTGCCATTCCTGAGGACTCAGGTGTTATTCCTCTGTACCTAGTAAATTCATTACCATATACTCAGTATAGATCTTAATTCTTTTTTTTTTAATTGAATTGGAATTGAACAAGCTCTTCTACTCATCATCTTTAAAAGTATGATCCCAGTATAGAATAGGTCACCCCTTCCTTTCCCGTGGCTGTAGAAAGAGGCGACTAAGGGAGGGCGAGTGATAGGCAACAGCGTCTCTCTTAAAACATCTCCAAAAGCCCAACTGCAGTTGCCAATCCGCCTGCCAAGCGTGACAACTACAGGCAAAACTCCCCAAGGGGGCGGCTTATGTTCAGCAGTGGACAGTTAAAGGCTGACATGATGATGATGTTGATGAACAAGCTCATCTATTTTATAATAGAATTGTAAACTGTAAAAGCTTTCAACAAAACGTCTTGGTGCCTGGTGCCTCGGTAAACACTCAATTAGTGGATCCGAGTGAAGCCATACGCCCGTACATTTGTACGTGTCGTAAGAAACACATTCGCGGCGAGTGGAGAGTGTTTTTTTTTTTATTGTATGCCCGCCCATTATACGTTACATCACGCGTGCTACTCCCACACCGTACGTTTGTGAAACGAAAATATTTTTTACTACTGTACCTACACTATTAAACCAGTGCGTGTAGCCAGTGATGACTTACGGTACCGAAACGTGGTCCTACATGATTGCCCGTATGCAAGAGCTACAAATTACTTTTTTTTTCTTCATGGATGATAATGGAATGGAAACCCCGCCTGCGCTAACGGTATACACTGGCGAGGCACCAGTGAAGAGTGATAGATGAGAATGAAAACAGGCCAGTTAGCCCATTGTGACGAAAAAAATGAATCACGATAGTTTCCAGAGGGAACCGCGTGGAGGTCGACCTGATAGGGTATATTGATAGCAATGGGAATCCCATTGCTAGCAATATACCTAACCAGGGGGATGTCGCCAGTAATTACCACGCTGGCAGGCGGGTTGGCAACCGCTGTTCGAGATTGGTGGTTTTTTAAGAGAAACGCTGCTACCCATCCCTCTACTATTATGTTTCCTTTATCGCTTCTTACGACACCTAGGGAAAAGGAAGGGGTGGCCCATTCTATGCCGGGACCACACAGTATAATAAAATGTTAGGCACACGGTATGTTATTCAATATGGTAGACGAGAAATTGATAGTATTCATTCGTTATTTTTTTGTTCATTATTTTAAAAAAATTTTATACCACTGAGGTGGCAAACAAGCATACGGCCCACTTGATGGTAAATGGTTACCGTAACCTATGAACACCTGCAATACCAGAGGTATTACGCGTGCGTTGCCAACCTTGAAGAAACCTCTTTACCCCCCTTTTGAAGAACCCCATGCTGTAGTCTCTTGGGAAAACCTTGGCAGGGAGCTCAATCCACAACCTGAGTGTTCGTGGGAGGAAACATTCCTGAAACCTCGCAGTACGCGACCATTGAGGTTGTAGGACATGAGGATGAACTCCCTGTCGATGGTGAGCCGTACGATAGTAGAAAGTGGCTGTGGGCATCATATTGAACAATTCCTCTGAGCACAATCCATTGTACAGGCGGTAGAACACGCAGAGTGAGGCAAAATCTCTCCTAAGACTCAAGGGTTCGATACCGCTTGTGAGCCTGGGATCATCGACAATTCTCGTAGCTCGTCGTTGCAACGAGTCGAAAGGTTCAAGCAGGTATTTAGGTGCTCCGGCCCATAAGTGACAGCAATACTCCATATGGGGCCGGATTTACGATTAATCTAATTAGATCTAATTAATTCTGAATTATTAATCTTAAACTGTGCCATACCCTTGGCCGCACCACATATATAAATGCAGCTACCCATAACTAGATATGTTTTAGTATGGGTTCAATGACCACCGTACCCATTAGTTTCAAGTACGCGTATTACCATAACACTTAAATGTCATTAATATTAATGCAAGACGCTAACAGATTTAAATCAACGATAGGGCCAAACGAAATTAAGTTAATACATGCCTTCCTTACATAGATATACATTTAAATCAAGGTTGTCTTGAAAAGATTGCTCTCAGCAATAAGACCGCCTTACTGTACTTATACAATCGTATCGTTATGTTTGTAAATTGTCTTGTTTATTTCCTATATTGTATAATGCAAATAAACTATACTCATTCATTCATTCATTAAATCACGTTAAACGTGTTTCTGTGACTGCATCTTATAACAATTTACATGTTCGAATATGTCTATTGTTTTTGTTTCAAAATACGTTCAAAATTGGACAGGCAAAGAGCATGGCCCATACAGCCTAGTCGTAAGTTACAATTGATTTTTCGTAAATGAAAAGAAAAATATTACATCCTTAATTTATTTTAGATCTTCGTAAAAGTTGAAAGCACCAAGCGTTTGAATTTACTATTAATAAATACATGCCATACCTTTGAATGCTGGTGTCCCGCAAGGCTGTGTACTATCTCCGACTCTGTTTCTTCTGCATATCAATGATATGTTACAGATAAGTAATATTCATTGCTATGCAGACGACAGTACAGGAGATACATTATATACCGGTCATGCAAAGATCTCGCGGGCACATACCGATGAGTGCCGAAATAGACTTGTGTCTGAAATCGAAACTTCACTCCATCAAGTTTCGATCTGGGGTGAACAAAATCTTGTCCAATTTAACCCCAAAAAGACACAAGTCTGCGCGTTTACCGCAAAAAAAAAACGCCGTTTGTCGTATCTCCTCACTTTCAGGGCACTTCCCTTGATAAAAAGTCGAGTCTAGGAATTCTGGGCGTTGATATATCTTGCGACGTCCAGTTTTGCGGTCATCTGGAGGAGAAGGCTAAGATAGCTTCCAAAAAGTTAGGAGTGCTCAATAGGGTGAGACGATATTTCATGCCAGAACACCGCCTGAAATTATATAAAGCCCAAGTCAGGCCGCATATGGAATACTGTTCTCACCTGTGGGCAGGAGCGCCACAGTACCAACTCCTTCCGTTAGACCGCATTCAAAGTCGGGCGGCTCGAATTATCGATAGTCAACGCCTTACTGTCCGACTTGATCCACTGAAACTGCGCAGGGATGTTGCATCTCTGTGCATCTTCTACCGAATTTATCATGGGGAGTGTTCTGAGGAATTGTTCGGATTGATACCTGCTGCTGATTTTCACTACCGTACAACCCGCCACAAACTAAAGTTTCATCCCAATCATCTGGACGAGTGGCGGTCTTCCACCGTGCGTTTTTCAAGGCACTTTCTTCCACGCACAACCATTCTTTGGAATCAACTTCCAGCAGCAGTATTTCCGAACCGATACGACAACATAACCTTCAAGAAAAGAGTATATTCCTTTTTAAAAGGCCGGCAGCACACCTGCAATGCCGCTGGTGTTGTGGGTGATCATGGGCGGCGGTAGTCATTTACCATCAGGTGAGCCGCATGCTCGTTTGCCCCCTGTGTTGTAAAAAAAAAAAAAAATACATTTCTATTCAAGTGAAATAATCTATTTTTACTTACTTATTCATGTATAAGTAATTTTTGTTTTCATAGAGTTATTTTACATAGTATACGTCAGTCTTCTGAGACATCCATTATAGTATGATAGCTGACACGTGTTTGAAAAGGGGTAAAGTCAGATTGCAATGGGCAGCGGGAAGCGTCCATACTGTACTTTAGTACTGTTAAGGCAGTATCTGTGGTATGTCTTTGCTGTAATGTAAAAATAAAAAAAAGATTGTCTTGTCAAATTGCCGAATCTGACGAATGAAATATTGAAGACTATGACTGAATAATTAAAGCGACAAAAAATTTAAAAAACATTAAAATTCCAGACAAATTATCATACTGGAGACTAGGCAGCATGGCCTCAGACTTTAGCCTGTTCCATAACGGAACAAACGTACAAAAAAAATATGACGTAAAATATCGGAAAGTCGGACTTTTAGGCAGCATGGTCTCCGACCGTAGCCTGTTCCACAACGGAATAAACGTACTTAAAAAAAAATCAGAATATCGGCATTTTTAATTTTATTTATATCAACCTCGGATTATACAAGTACTATCACTTAAACTGTGATACGACCGAAGTTTTGTCTCCAAAACAGGAGCGACCACGAGTACGTAGTCAACTTAAATGCCTTCCCTTTGAGTTCTAAAAGAATAGATAACTTATTTATTTATTTAATACAAAAATCCACATCTAAAAAAATAACTTACATGCCGAGTCTCTTACAACTACAGCCAATAACGGATTTTAAATATATAAACGAAAATTATAATTCTAAAGCTAGGTAGGCAAGTTAGAATGAATGTATGTAAGTAATGTAAGTGTATGGATGAAAGAAATTATAACATTGAGTGTCCATAAAGTCAGGTTGTATTAATATATAAATTAAATAAAATCTATTTAGCTGCAGTTCAGACATCCACAGCAATGATTAAGTAATACAAATCCATGGTAAACAATTGTAAAGAGGTAACGTCTTTAAAACTTACATACATTTCCAATCCGGTGTTTGTTGACGTCCGTAAAACGTCTTACTCACGCGATTTGCGTGTAAACGTAAAGGGAAAAAACAACATCAAAGACTGTAACAACCAATAATCCCGTAAAAATGAAATGTTCCCCGAAACCTAAATAAAAATAAAGCAATAAAAATGTATTAATAAACATTCTACGTCAGGACGGGCTCGTATGGATGGTGTGTAACAAAACATAAATTATACTGCCCCTATATTCGGGATACCTACGTGTCATCGCCCATCACGTCAGCGCCGTCAGCCGT